ACTCAAAGTCATGGCCTTGTTCCTGCTCGTTGACTGCGGAGATTTGTAGAGCTTGAGCATCGGTACCGTAGGCTGTGATATGCTGGCCGATAAAGCTTACCTCGCATGTCCGGATCTAAGGTGGCAATGTCAGGCATGTCCTCTTCTGCTGCGGCAGCGAGAGCCCTCGTAGCGTCGGAGGTCGCATCAGTTAGCTTGGTAATGACAGACTGGAGTGGAGGTAGAGGTAGAGACTCGAAGTCCGTGGATTGGGCGAGGTGATCATGAAGCGCATTGATTTCGTCTGGAGTCAGCCAAACCCAGCTTCCAGACCACTTGTGCATGGTCAGAGACATACAACGACGTGAGAAAGCAAGTCAGCAAGCGCCAAAAATCGGTCAATTCGATGGTCGACCAGACTGGTAGGAATATTGCTAAATCGATGTGAGTGTCGTAACGTCAGAGCCGTGTACATGTACGCTTTCCAAAGTCCTTCTGAGTACTACTAGTCGTCTTCCTCTGCTCTGAGATCCCACCAATTGAGGGCGGTGTCGCGCGAAGGAACTGGATAATCATGGTCCGGCCGTTGAGGCCGTGTCTGCCATCGCTGGCGCACTCGGCTCTCCACCCGAGATGCTGCGAGAACCTGCCCTTGAGCCTTGACACGGTGACTGAACTGGTCAGCCATGAACAAGAAGTCCTTGTCGGACAACGGTGGCCCAGACAGGATCTTGACGCTCTGCAGGTCCTCCCAGACGCTGTCAAAGCGACCTCGTGCATCCACCCAGTCCTGGTAAATCTGGGCAGGGGTGGCGGGGACGGTGGTGGCGGGGACAGTGGTGGCTGGGACAGTGGTGGCGGGACAGCAGCGGGGTCAGAGGCGGGGACAGAGGCGGTGTCGCGCAGGGATCGCCATGCGTACGAGTCCTCGAAATCGTCGTAGTCGGGCTCTCGAACGCGACGCAGAACTTCGCGTACGCTGGGAGGCTGCTCGTTCGGCGGAGATCCGCTGTTAGACTCCGTTGAGGAAGCTTCTAAGATCCTGTACATTAAGAAGAGAATAGACAGTAGCTCTTGTCTTGCGAGCTCTGCCATGCCGGTGTGGAGGTAAGGAGCCAACCGATCGGGTTGATCGGGTTGCATGGACGTGAGTGTCTAATAATTGCCAGGGTGAGCTTCTGAGATATGTGAGTAAGTGGACTTACTATGTGAGGGAAGGTTCTGAGGATAGCTTCGTCAGACCACCTTTGCGGCTGGTTGCCGTTGATCGAGGGCATGGTGAGTGCGGAGAATCTCCACACGGGGATCGGTATGATATGGAGCTCCATGGACGGAGCCATGATGAAGCCCTGGAAAGTAATGGGCGGGCTAATGCGTCGCTCCCAATACGCTCTAAGGGCAACCACGTCCGTAGGCGCTGTGCGTGCATGCATGCATGTCAAAGTCAATATATAGAAATATTGATAAGGGCCGTCCTCACCTGTATTATAATGAGGGATAACCACCCTCATGCTGCTGTTCGGACGGTACAGCCAGCCCCAGTCACCCCAGAGAGAACGGTTTTGTAGGAAGCCTCCCTGGAAGATATGGCCCCAACTGTCGAGGACCTCATCGGGCGTGTTGTCCGGCCTTCCCTTTTGACGTAGAACAGTGATGATGAGCGCGACGCGTGGATGCTTCTTCTGCGCGTACAGCTCTGCATACTGTGAAGTGGATTGAATATAATGTCAGCTCAGTTAGCTTGCCGCTCGCAGATTGCTTGAGTAACTCACTTTCTCTAAGACATCTCGTGGAGACTGAGTGACACAAGTCTCTCCGGCAATGAGTAGGTAGTTGGTAAATTCTCCGTAGATCAGTGTTGAACAGTCAGGTTTCCGGTTGATGATCGCCTGGATAACCCAATCGTGGTCAGTATACATATCTTTGCAATTGACCTTCAACGCCATCTCGTTCAGCAAAGACTGCTGCCATCTCATCATCAACGCCACCGCCTGCTGATGAAGAGGACTTGGACGCGGCATGAGCTTCTGTAAGAGAGAGCGTAACTTGAAGGTTAGTATATCATTCATTGTACGATTAGGATCATACTTTCTCACCGAGAAGCCTGGCGCATATCTTCCCTTGTCTTATGATTCAAGCGCTGAGATGATTACATATAAGTTCCGACAGTTCGCCACAGTTGGTAGAAGTCGGGCAAAAAAGAGATCATATACGATTCTGCGTGCACATACATATAAAGACGTCGTGATAATCGTAAGCGTGTCCGAAACTGTCCCACTCATCCACACCATGTCGCGCCAGTGATAACTGCACTCCGAGTGTTGGCCTTCCTCATCATGATCAGTTAGCCTCCCCTTCCCTCCTCAGATCGTCCACGAGGAAAGCGATTCTGCGCATGGCCCCTGAGATGACGGTGTACAGCTGCTCGGGAGTTGTGTCCCTCAGCCATACCACCATGTCGTCATCGAACAGGGGCTCCTCAGCGCCCTCCCGGAGCAATCGAGTCTCCTGGTAGGCTCGATGTGTGTCGACGATTGACTTGATGTGCATGTGGAAGCGATTGAATCCGAGGGATGGGATCGTCGCGATGCCAGCGTGAGAAGCGATGTGGGAAGAAGCGATGTGGGAAGGGTCGGTGTTGTCGGTGTTGACGGAGGTGTGAGAGGAAGGGTCTGAAGGCGACTTCTCAGAGGAAGGGTCTGAAGAGGACTTCTCAGAGAGTTCGTCAGTTAGCCACTGCCAAGGAGTCACCACCACACATCGACGTAGATTATAAGGCCAATCGCTTACCATAAAATTGCCTTGCTGCGTCTCCCACTCTGCCACCCTCGTGAACTTCGCGCCGCCCCCCTTGAAGTCGTCGAGTTCATCGCTCTGGTAGGACAGAACGCCTACCTCCATATCCACCGTTCTGCGGCTGCCATCGTCAGGCGTTCGGTAGATGCGACGATGACGGCAGTGCTTCGCGTCGGCGTCGACCTCAGCGACCGGCGCAATGAGGACAATTATGAGCCCTTGCAGGAGCCCAAGGGATGGTACGACCAACGATATCTAAACACATCAGAGACTCGCTATACACCAGTGACACGTCGTCACGTACCTTCTTAGCCACATATAAGAACTCTTCCCTACTCTGAGCCAAGACGCACAAAAACAGCTCACGACCTGATGCGGTCGTCACCACACTCTTCTTCAAGCACAGTACGGCTCGTTGGGACTTGATTGTCCACACGGTCGGCGAGTCCAGACCCAGCTCGTACTCACACGTGCTGAAGACGTACTTCATCTTACTGATGATGAACCTCGTCAGGTCGACCTCGAATGTCGGTGCTTGTACGACAGCCTTTCTTTCGAGCGGATAGTAATCGATACTGTAACAAGTCAGCCAGGCTCTGCACCTCAAGATGACCCGTGTTTACGCTTACTGCAGTTCCCGAAGAACTTCACCAACTGCGTCTGCTCACCCTCCTCTACATCCCACTGCCTGCTGTCTTCCACCGCGTCCTGCAGCAGCTGATAATGATGTCCGGCCAGCCCTTGTATGTCCTGTAGAATAGAACACCAGGTTAAGTGTGTAAAGATACTGAGTTCATGCAGCT